CCGAATCTAATCTCACAAGTGCAATGTGAAATTGATAAACACCAAAGAGTCCAAATCCGGCAAATTTTTTTGGAAAATCAATTTTAAATCAAATAATGTCAAAATTGAACTGCTTTACTAGATACAGAGTCGCCACCTAAATAGTTTTTGTTTTGGGGAAATTTAGGAAACACTGACTCGTGCCAAAGGCCAAGTGTCCGTCATCACCAAAGTTGCCTCGGCTCGGGAACTTGGGTACGAGGGGGGAAGGTCATGAATTGAGCACCACCACTCGCCCGATCAAAAATCGGCCTCTACTAATCATGATATGATATTTTATAAACATTATGTGCTATTGTTCTGATTATTAAACTAGCTTTACTATGTGATGCGCACAATCAAGTATAGACTAGTTTGCTCAATTTGGAACAATTCAACTCATGTTTGTTTGCGAAAAAAGTTTGAATTTGCCACCTCAAGTGGGCTTAAAGTTTGCAGATTTGCCACCAAACATAGTGGGCTTAAAACATTATTTGCCACTCAACAAAGTAGGCTTAAAAGGCACATTTGTTGAATTGTTCCAGTTCAAACAACATGCCTTCATCCACAGGCATTTAAGCAATTTAGCAAGTAAGCATATAGCCTCATGGCAAGCATGCTAGATATGGCAATATGCACACTCATGCAAGTATGCTAAAGCATAAAACTCACATAGTACTCCAAGCTAAGATAGACAAAAGAGTTAGAAAAATGAATGATTCCTAACTGTACAAAATTCCTAATGCAACACATGCAATATGCAATTAATAGGCTCGGCTACTAATATGGCATATGATTCAATTGAATAACATGCGGTTTAGACACGTATTCAAATAAGATACTGAAATGGCGATGCAGTTTGAGTGATGCGCCGAGCCTCGGTGCATGTAATACAAATGAATGGATGCAAGCACAAGGCATAAGGTATGTTGATTGAAATATGTCCCTAATCTAACCATCAAAAATGATTAAATAAAAGGGAGAAAGACGTGGGGTTAGAAGACATACATGCACACACACAAACTTATTACAACATTACGCCCTCGCGAAGGAGGGTCCGAATGAATGATCTAGCTAACCAAGCTAAGCTAAGCTAATTAACTAATTATTACAACATTTAAGGCAAATAATTAACTAACTATCTAATCTAATTAATTAAAAAAAATTAACTAGGCTAAGCTAATTAAATATTAGTACATCAACTAATTAGCTACAACTAATTAGACTAATTAAATATTACATCACAATGCATTATGCTAACGAAATAATACGATCAAACTCATCTGATATGAACACCAAGGAAGATGGATGGAGGTTGCATACACATCACCTGAAAGCTACCCTGTATGCTCAGTTGCCTCTGTTTCACCTGCAGCCACTGCCTCTATTTCTGTAAAATTACACTACTGGCCACACACCAAGGGCCAGCCGTGCATCATTGATGACCGGCCGAGCCTACAGAGGGCCGGCCATGCATTGATTTAGGGCAAACTCTGTTTCTGTGCTCTGAGGTGAAATCAGTGCAGATGAAGCATTTTCACATTCTATTTGCCTCACATTCCTTCTCTGTCATGGGAAAGCCTCAAGAGAAGGTAGGGCTTGACTCCAAAACCATCAATGAGCAATATGATCGCTTGATGATCTCGGATGTCATTTTGGACCAAAAATCAATGAATGTAATGCAAAAGACCACCCTTCCTTTTTGTCACTTGATAAACTCAAAAAAGGAAGTTGGGACGCTTCAAGGACATCAAAAGCACCATGAATTAATGCTTGATGACCCTTGACACAAGGAACTTGGCATAACGTCCGGCCAAGTTCGAGCTATTCTAGTCATTTTCTTTAAGTGTGTTAATCCAAATTTTAAACTAATTGTTTTAGGCCTTGTCATTCATTAGTCCATTTATCCAAATATGATGTTTAGAGTCCTCTAACCAAGAAGAGATGTCAAACAAGAGGTCCTCCCGAGACATGACAAGGAGACTACACTGTTGACGATGAATCTCCAAAGAGATTAAGCCATTAAGTGTATGTCTCCTTTATATGCCTTGAGCAACCTCAATTGGTTGAAACCATTCTCATGGATGAAAGATATGGATTAATTGATTGATTAGCAAATTTCAGCCTCAAAGTATGTGAAATGAACCAAGAAATCATATTAAGCAACAAGTATGCCCACTGTGCAACCTCGAGTGTGCCTAATAAGGTATGAACCAATTGGAAAAGCTTAGACAACCTCAAAACAGTCC